TGTGAGTATCTGCAATAGCTCCAAATGCAGAAGCAAAACACTCGTGCACACATCTCTGCAATAAGAAAGCAGCAGCCTGTACACAAACTCAGCTAGTTATACTACAATCTGAAAACAGCAAAAAGTATTCAGAATTATTCCAATAGGGCAGTACGTTTTTGGAAGCACAGGTCTCAAGATAACTGTCACCCAGCCACGAGAAATGATTTGAAAAATACCCAGTGCTATTATTATTACAGAGCTGCGTCACTACTAATACCACAAGATCTGTCTATATGTTTAACAGTGATGATGAAAACATCAAAAATATGCTTGTGAAGGGTAAAAAGCAATGATACAGTGAGGAATGTCCTGGAAAAAAAAAAAGTATTAGGAAACTACTTCTGACCTGCCAGAAATCAAGTTTTTGATTCATGGCACTAATCCAGTGTGACAATTTAGTGCCAATCCTGTTTCTAGACATTTTTTTGTTCTGTATTTTTATTTACTTTTCAGAAACAGATTATTAGAAGGGAAAGCCTGGAAACAGTAGATTTCTAAGATGAGGGCAAGAAACTTTACTTATTTAGCACTATTAATTTGCTTTGCATTGGCATGAAAAAGGGTGTAAGAGAATTACAGAGAAGGGGGGGGGGGGCAGAACAGACCCCATAACAGTCCTTTCCCCCCGTCCCATCTTTTGAAGTGTGAGAGCAAAACCTTAACATAGCAACTCAGTACAGTTCACATAATTGGGTAAGTGCCAGGGTATCACTTCTGGCATCAAAGACATGCAAACAGAAGTAGTGCAGAAAGTAATAAACAGTATTAACAACAAAAAGTATTAATGTAAAAGACAGGGCAAAAAGCATAGACACCATCAGTATTGAGTTACATTCACGGAACTGTGAGCTCTTGTAGATACGTGAAAGCTCTTTTGGAAGTTCTCTGGCATAGAAGAGTTACTGGAATTTGTCTTTCAGCAATGTTTTCTGTTTATCTCCATTTTACACCACATTTGTACTTGGTTTACTGATCCTCTTCAAAGGGGAATGCATGCAGATCTAAACCACAATAATTTAGTAATACAAAAAGAGATTTATAGACGCAGTGTACAATCTCACTCACAAAATCGCTCAGTGTAAGAAAAGCAGTACCTATTAATTGTGTCACCATATGTTGCTCTAATAAGTTGCTGAAGCAGATTTTTTATGTTTCTTCTTAACCACTGATTTCTTTCCTTCAAATCGAAGACTTCATCCATAAGGAGGAGCATTACACGCAGTGGAATATTGTCATCCACCTGATCAAGTGAGTAGAAGTATAATCAGTAAACTTTTATTTCAGTTCAAGAAATCTATAGTTCTAGCAGCTAATTCACAGGTCAAATGCTTCAGTACACACCGAACAATGACAGAAACACTTCGTTCTGTATTTCACTGTAATATGAAATGTTCCCTAAATCTTCCCTCTAATCTAAAAGTTAAAGATAAACTAGGCTTAAATCCCTTGAATTTTTAAAAGACGACAAAAAGTAACAGTTAATTCACCAAAGCTGGACAAAGTTAATCCAAGTAAGTATGTCCTAAACAGACAGATTGTCCCTGACCTCTTCCTTTGGTAGGTGGGCTTCCAAATGCCTAACGTGAAAACTCTGGAAGGAGCTTTTCTTTGGCATCTTCTTCTTACGGATGCACTGCAACAAACTCAGAACCTCCTAAGAACAATAACACTTCACTGCAATGAACTGCATTTTATTTAGATATCGTTCTAACCTGCATGGCTATGAAGTGCTTTTATGCTTGTAGATTACAAAAAATATCATCATTTTATTATTTAATAGAAGATATTACGCAGATTGGCTTACAAGAAAATAACTTTTATGGTAATTCTAAAACAAGAGGATTCAATAACTATCTAAAAGTTTTTAAAGTTGGATGGCACATGCTTGCAGTAACTGTCAGCAATTTTTTGAATATTAAAATTTGAGGGATAGTGTACTAAATTCTGTAGTATGAATATATTAGATTTTCATCTTACTTGTTATTGTTTCTCTTCTAGAAACAACAGTAGCTTCTCATAACCTGTTTATATGCCAAAATACAACCCTACATATTATTAAGCTACTGCAAAACATGACAGCATTTAGAGTTACAGTTGTATTGCACAAGAGATGACAAATATTTATCTCAAATACAACAAATTAATTTGATTTTTCGACTGAGTCATTATTTAAACTTCGTATTTATTATTAAAACTTTACAGAATAGCAAAGTAAAAATAAAATGTTATTATACCCTCAGTAAAATGCACTGAATGAATGCACTTTCTTTGGTTTTCTGAGTTGTTTTTTTTTAATTAGGATTTTTCCATTCTAAGCGTAACATTCAAAATTTTGTTTCTTGTTTCAAATCTGATACAGCTCTACCTGGAAGAGTAGTAGTTTGCGTGTATTGTTAATCCTGTGCTGGAAGAAGTAGCAACATCTCACAGCTACGTGGACATTTTTGGTGGACTACACGAGTGCATCTTTGTATACAACTGGAACACAGACAGCGGATTCATAATCCAGCTGGCCATTCTCTAGATCCATGCCTCACTTTTCCAGTATGGCTTCTCCATGTAAAATTCCATTCAAACTGCCATATTTTTTGTCTGATTTAGTGACTGTAAGTTGTGAACAATGCATCTTAAGAGAACAGTTGAGAGTTGAAAGGTTTTTAAAACATTTGAAATCTGCCTTTCAGAAACACTTGGTACGTTAACTTAGGAGCTATCAAGAATTGTAGCATCTATTCATTTTGCAGAAGATCAATGAACTATTTGCAGAAAAGCTGCTTATATACTGGAGTGATATTTTGTTTTGCCTGTACAAACCAGAAGCCTCAGAAGTATCAAAGATATACATTTATAATTATAAATTTAGAAATACAGTCTGACATAGTGAAAAGTAATGGGGAAAAAGAAAACCCAGAAGAACTCAAGGCTGTGTTATTTGTGCAAAAATACACCTACCAAGCCATCATAGCAGTTATGCACAGGAAGACAAACTGGAATGCTTTTGATGTGACCGAAACCCCAAAATGTGAAGGATAGAACAGGTGCAGATTTATGACCATAGTAAATTGCATATAATCACTGGTAATCTTATGGCCTTTCTGTCCTACTTAGAGATAAAAGTTTTTCCAATTGTTTTCACATATATGATCAGAGTTTCAACCAAAACAATAGCAAAATACCATCACTTATGATAACATCAAGAGCTTAAACGTCACTTTCAAGTTTCTAATATTACTGCTTTATACAGTTTAGGTATCCACATACTAGAATTTTATTATTTAGGAAAACATTCTGAAGGGTTTTTTTCCATAAAAACACAGCAAACACTACTTCTGATCCATTAAACAAATGCCCCCTAAAAGGTTGCATCAGAAATCAGAATGCATAAAATGCCAATGGAAATGATGCTAAGTCTGGTACCGTATTATCTTTGAACGGACAGAAATTGGAGGCAGAAGGGGAAAAAAAAAAAAACAACAACCCCGAAACACAGAAGCAGTAGCATGGGGTGCAGACCATTTTAGTACTAAGATGTTAATTTCAGAAGGAAGCATGTAAGTTTCTTTTAAAAAGTTAAGAACTGTTTGTAAGTGCCTGGCACAGTATCAGAAAATAATAAATAGGAAGTTTAACATAAAGTAACTAACTCATTTGGTTTTAGACAAGTCAGCTTTGAAAGGACAAATGTTAGACTCACATTGTCATCAATTGGTGCTGCAACACGGCAATGGTCAGGATCTGAATAGGTTTTCTGGATCAAAGGAGGCACCTACAATGAAAAACAGATAATGTTTATGAAGTAAAAAATACTTTAGAATACCAATATATCAGAACAATTTTCATAATAGATTTGGTTATGAAAATGAAAACCAAACATTTGGACAGAAGTCAGTTGCATACTACCTCAGATAAATATACAGTAGTTCTTTCATCTTCCAGCACATCAAGCCTGTTAAGTATTCTCCTATAGCTATCAAAGTTATCGACACCTTTAAGACAATCCACATACATTTTCTCAAGTGCTGAATGCTTCAACTGAGAAACACCTAGAAGTTCATATGGGACTGATATTTATTCTGGTATTTCCTCTTGATCTCAAGTCCTGCCTAGTCACGGACTTCCCAGTAGGTATAAATGCAGATATATTGTTATTCACACACCAGGAAGTTACCAGCAATGAGAAAGTCCAGAGCCAATCATTTTATCTCACAAGTAATGAAAAAAAAACAAATAAAAACCACACACACACACACACAAAAAAAAAAAGCCCCACACCACAGATTTATTATTCCCTTTCATGGTTTAAGGGTTAACTCATCTCAGTTGCTATTCTACATCTGCCACTTATAACTGGCTTGGTAACACAAAATGGAACAATCCTGATCACACACCTTACAGCTACACAGAGAAAGAGGAAGACAAGGGAAAGGAAGATGGACATGTTCGGAAGATTACTACTTTCACAGGACTTCTAGATAGCATGCCATGCTACCAATCTTCACCTCCAAGATTTTACATTTTAGGAATATAAGAGATGAGGAAAGATGGCAGGAAAGACAGAAAGAAAATTTAATTAAAAACAGAATTCAGCAAGGAATAAGCAGAAAAGAAACTATCTCCTTATTCTAAGTTTCATAATATATGGGTGTTTTCTAACGAAAGCAGCAGATGCAGCAAACCAGCTTTATGAGAATGAGTGGTAAAAAAAATAAGAAAAATCAGTGACTCATTCTTCTCAAGTGGCTGCATTGAATTAAGTTAAGAAGGATCACTGTAACAGTCTGTAGATGCCATCTTAAAATGTGTTACTTAATAGCAAAAACCCCTCCATATTTTTATTATAATGACACCAGATTGCTGTCCTGTCTAAGGACTTGACTCTTCACTATAGTATACAAAGTAAGTCTAAAGTGAGTCAATAGCTAATCCCCTAATAATTCACTAGTATGTATTAACTACCAAATATTTTCTTACCTTGAAAAATGATTGCTTTATGTCTTGTCCCAATCTCTCTGACATTTTACCCATGTTGTCTGACATTTTAGTCATTCCCTCTGCCAGGCTGTCAGGGAGAGACTTGACTGCATTTGATACATTTCTCATAGAGTTACGCAGTGGGTTTACAAATGTGTCCATCTGAAGGGGAAGATGTTTAACCAGAATTGTATAATCTATGAGGACACCAGTATATTAATACACTATGAGAAGTATCACACTGTTCCAGAGAACAATAATATAAAGAACAACTCAAATTGCTAAACTTCATTACAGAAAGCAGAATAAAGTTTTAACTTCACTTTAATTTATATTTCTTGTTCCTTATAGCCCTAGTGTAACTATTTACACCTTTCAACAGATCTTTTTCCTGAGTCATTTCCATTTCCCATCCCTCAGCTTTTCTTAGCTTGAATTTATTTTCCTTTTCTTCTTCATTCAATGCCATTTCTCCCTTCCAAGCTTCCTACTTCCAGATGTTTCACTTCTGCTTTCAACTCTTCATCTTTGAAACATGCCTCTTTTAAACAGCACTGGAGTAATATGCTTTAATATCATGGCGAGTATAATGAAAAACATAAAGTAGTTCCATAGAAACTGTTACAATTTTTCCTCCAGCACATACTCTAAATTCAGTCCAGAGGCACAAATACTAGTGTGGTGCCCTTAAAAAGTTAAGTTCATGAAGAACCTGATAAGCTGGAAATCAGATCTTACTCAGTCATTACATAAACCTTGATAAATATTTAACTGTTTCGCTGTTAAATATTTAAGGAATATAGGTAGAACAACAACTTGATGCGAAAATACAATTGCAGATGCTTTTTATATTAAAATCACTGAAAGACAGAAATAGATAAATTTGCAAAGCAGATGCGCACACAAACTGTTCAACTGAACAAAGAATCAGCTGTCTGAAGAGAGTTTCGGTGGCTTAACAAAAAGGATGCGCAGCTCAGAGCTCCGAATTTGACCAATGATTCTGAATGGTTAAAATGACGAAATACATAACAGATGCTTTTGAAGGGAAATGCATTTCATCTTTTGGGCTGAAGAGTAGAGAGCATGTAACAGCAGCAAATACAGAGTAAAGAACTGGAAAAAAAATTAGAAGGAATGAGACTACGAAAAAAATCACAGATGTCTGACAGAAAGTAATTTGCAACAAACGCTTTTAAAGTTGTCTTGGTGCAATACACTATGCCCGATTTGAAAATTTTATTTCCTTGTTATACAATTAAATTTATCTGTTATAAAACCAGTAGATTTTTGGTTCCATATGCCCTCAGATACTTTGCCACTCAAAAAGTATTAAAGCTACTCACTTGCAAATTGTTTTGAAATATAGCTGTTTAGTATCAGTTCAACACCTCTGTTTAATGCAATCATTGCACTAACAAATGTTCTAAGGTTCCGTTGACAGTGAAAAAGATTCTTACCTTCCGTGCAAAATCCCCCTTCCCTTTGCTGTAGGCTTTATTTTCCAGGAAGTCATACACATAATGGGCTAAAGCTGGAGAAGCCTTCATCATTTCAGGATTTAACAAGAGCTGAGTAAAATAATTTTTAAAAGGTGCTTTTTAATAAATAGTGATAAAGGCCATACCATTCACTTCAGTAAAAGTTCACAATTCACAATCAAATACACTATCTCTTACAATGCATTTTCTCATCCATTCTCTAAATTTTATTCCAACATTACACTATTCTCAAGATGGATGAGAGACATACAACAACATGCTTCTTGGTAATTCTGATAATTTTAACTAGTATGTTAATTATAGTATGTCACAGAAAAATGCACACCTTTATGACAATTCAAACTACTTCTAAAACTGCAAGAAAAAAATAGCTGTGACTAAAAAAAATTTAGTATTACTATTAAAAATGGGACACATCTCACAAAGGAAAAAATATCACTTTAAACAGAACAATCAGATTCCACCGTGTTTTATTAATCTTCATTATTTATTGTTAACATGTCCATTGAGTTGGTCAGCATATTTTAGTGCTAAATGACATGAAAGTCCCTATGAAGTAGGACAACAGAATTCCTTTAGCTGGGCTGATACAGGCCGTATCTGAATGGAGAAGCTGTGTGGTTGTGCTACATTGCCAGAGTGGGTGCCACACCAATCCTTATGCAACAGCACAAAAGAAAGTAACCACAAACATGAGTGTAATGCAAGGAAGTTTAGTGGCATAAGGCTCAAAACACAGCTGGAACCTCACCAGCTCAGAGAAGCTGGGACAGAACCAGCTGAGAGTAAACCAAAATAGCAAAGAAAAGGCAAGCTTATGAAAAAAAAAAAAAGTTCTTATTTAGGATTGTATACCACATACAACACAGTTTTTGGTTTTGTTTTGTTGTTTTTTTTTTTTTTTTAAAAAGCATGCTAGCAAATTTTCTACCTCAGAAAAAAGAATTCCAACCTAGAACACAATAAAAAAAACCCTATCAGCTTACCTGTAAATATGCATTTAAATCTTTTTTCCTCTTTTCCAAAAATTCTCTGTCCATATTGTTAAATGTCTTTTTGCCAGGAAGTTTCAGTATATTTGCAAGGTTTTCAAACTAGAAAAAAACAGAGAAGATTTTTTGTTCTGTTTTCAAAAGAGTTTCAAATCACCATATAAGCTCAGAAATTACAGGGGTCATTATATTCACCTATTCTTATCTACCATATAACACCTGACAAATAATTTCTTCCCAGAACTCAGATTCCTTGGAGAAGCCAAAATGAAAGGTAGGCCACAAGAACAAATGCACAAAAAAATCTTAGGAGACCGTCATGGGCAAAATTTCACGTCTGTACACACACACACAGTACTCACTTCTGAAATACAGACTAGTATGGTGTGCAAATTATTCCTGTCATCACACCTGCTCAAAAAAGTTTAGGCTCAAGATTTATCATTATTATTTGTGCAGAAGTTAGTAAGGTTATAAGACTACATCAAGAGAACGTGCAAATCTTACTAAAACATCTTCTTTTTCGTCTCCTGATCAAACCTACTACGGAAATGACTAGGTTTTTATCCCTGGAGTGGAAGGCAGCACGCAGTTTACACAGAAGTTATCGTACCATGCTTGATATGCCATCACCCTGTGCCTTTTCTCCAGGTAATGACAGTGATTGGCACAGGTTGACATGTCTACCACTGTTGCAGTGTCACAGAAAGAACTGGGGTTCCAGAGAAGCAGCAGGGAAAAAAAGAGGCCCTAATACTGAAGAATGTTGAACATATCTGCTACAATGCACAAAAATAAAAAAGCAACAAGAATAAAACTCAAAACCACACAATCCAGACTTCCTATAAATAATAAATAATATTCTAAAAGGTGTAAAGAGAGAAAGGTATACCATCCAGGCTTTAAGAAACAGCCTGGAAAAAGGTTGTATCGTTTTCTCTCTGGAGAAGACCACAAAGTTACAGATTTAATGAGAGATTGATTCCATTCAGTCCCTGCAAGGTGTCTTCTTGCAAAGACATTAAACTTTGGAAGGTCGCAAAGCTCATCTAATGTTTATGGCCTGAGGAAGCACCAAAGAATAACTATTTCCAACTTTACAAATCCCATTCCCTTGCAAATAGGTCATGTAGGAAAATAACTGAACAGAAGATGGTCTAGTTTTTATTTGGATATCTGCATCTAAACAGAAGCAATGTGAGCCAAGAATAGTATCTATTTTAAACATAGATACGTACTTCAAATGGTATTCATTATATTACTGACTAAAGAAACGTGTTAATCTATTCAGTACTTTAAGGAAAAAAGCTCATATAGATACTATACACACCCAACTTCAACTCCATTTTGGATCAAGTACCTATATTCTCTGAAAAACATAAACAATAAACCCTGCCCTTCCTATTAATTTTAAGTAAAAGATTCTAGCCTTTTACCCTTAACATGCCAATAAAAATGTCTCAGACAAGCACACAAGAAGGGTGTTGAGTGTACTAGTGGCACTCCTGTGCCCATAAACTCAGTAAGAATGTTTATTTTCTTGTCAAAACAAAGCAAAATTGCTGGGAGTTTCTGAGATGTTAGAGTGAAGCACAGGAATTCCTTTACTTTTTGCCATCTTGGAGGATAACGCTTCTGTTTTCTGCAAATTCAAAGAACTCAGATTCAGCAACAAGAAATTTCTGAGCTTTCATACTTTGAAAACTTTAGCTTCTGCCATTTTTTTTCTAGTCATTTACCCATAGGTCACTTTTAAATGACTGCCCCATATCAGCAGAACATGAACTCACTATAAGGTCAGGGAACCCATACCTGTTTCAACAGGTCAGGGATTCTTCAAAAGAGTGAATTAAAAAAAAAAAAAAAAAAAAGAAAAAAATCAATTTGAAGAGGAGTACAAAAATTGGTATTTCAAATTTATTGACAGCACACTAAGAAAGTCAAAGGAAAGTCAGACTTTATTTATTAATACAAGTATTCAACACAATGTTTGCTTTCTCAATAAAGCCTTTTCTATTTTTACTACTCTTGTGACTTTACAATAGTAACTTACCTGCACAGAATTTGTTCTCTATACCTCTATTAATAACAGAGTAAAGGGATGTAATCCAACACTTCAAACTAGTTCAAAGGTTATGCAGTCAAATCTGACTTCTCCAAAGGCTTGGTTTAAAAGCTTTTCACCTTTTTTTTTTTTTTTTTAAAGCACTGCATTTTTCAACACTTTTTCATGTCAGCAGGTTCTACTTTGTACCAGCTGGTGAATTACAAGTCTCTATTTTTTCTTCTTTCATTTTAGGAGGGTTAAGAGTCTGAGCATGCAAGTACAGCAATAAAAGGCAGATTGTCTAGCAGTACACTGAACTGCCAACAGCTGTTCCTTTTGAGACCCCACCGATCCTTAACTTTTCACTTAAAACCTAAATACCTATTTCCCAAGCTCAGTTTTTATTTCTTAACCTCCGTGACAAATATAACAAATGAAATATGCCACTGTTTGAGACTAACAGCACTTCCATACAAACATTTTAAAGTAAAACTAAGCAAAGGGGTGGTGAGGGAAAAAGCTTTGTAAGTTCCATTTCCTTTTGTTAGAGGAATTATATAGCAATCAGGTACTAAACTATGTAAACATGCAGCTGTAAACTGCTCAGTACAAACAATGTATGATATAAATGGTAAAAAAGTACACTTCAATGAAAAATAACATAGTGTTCTAACTCCACATCTTAAGTCACTTTGAGAAAGCCAATACTCATGCCATACTATCACACAGAAGCAGCATCTTTCAAAGAAACCTTAGAAGATTTTTATGAGATTAATTACCTGCTCCGTGATCCTCATGTGAAAGTCATGGAAGTCACTGTAGCGTCGATATGTCTTCCATGTCTCTTCACTGTTGGGATTTCGCCGATGGACTGTGATAGCATACAGTGCATATGTCTTGCCGTGGTCATTACACACTCCTGCCACAGCATATGGGTCATAGTCAGCATAGACTAGTAGTTTAAAAACAAAAATAAAAAAAGAACAAACAGAAAGAAGGAAGACGAAAGGACACAAACGTGAAGTGAAGAAATGTCTGGAATGACAGACTTGAGAGACAAAAATGGACAAGCAAGCAGGAGAGTAAGATATCCCTTTATGCAAAACACTGCAGAAGTCCCGAAACTTACTATGTAAACTTAAATATAGAGATTAAGCAGCCTTAAAGTTAGACAAGTTTCACTGACATGCAAAACATAAAAAAAGAATATAAAAGGTTTCAGCTTCTAAAGAACAGTGAACAGATCTTTTGAAAAATAATTTTAACCTAAAGAACTCAAAGTACGGGTGAAAGAAAACTGTGAAACCACAAGAAATTCCAGTCTGCAAAGTACTCTAATCATACTGAAAAAGTTTGTCCATCAAAAAAATCTGTAAACACAAAAGACACTGCTGGCAAGCTGTAAGCATTCGGTTTTGTTATTAACACAGCATTTTGTTATTAACTATAAGATAAAAAATACCCCCCACGCTATTTAAGTCAACAGAAACTACACATACATACATATATATGTATTCTCTATGTGCGTACATATCTACAATGTAATCTGTGTGTACACACGCGCGCACACATTTTATGGAGAAGTCAATTCATAAATGGAAAGAACACAGATCGTTATCTTAAATAGAAACAAACATCTTTTTGTTCTCCACTGCATATTTAAGTTCTTTTGGACATTCCTCCATCACAGAATTCCTCCCAGTATAGAGTTTGTTTCAAAAACTTGCATTTAATCTACAGAATAAACTAGAACCAACATTGTTTACACTGCACACTGTTTAAATTGGTAACACGTTGTATCACTAAGTATTGAACCAATACCAGTAAACCACAATTTTTCCAGTGGCTAGATGAAAATACTTTTTAATCAAGTTCTGTGAATTTCTCAGTGCACCAACGCTCCATAAAATACACTTTTCCTGACAAATCATCTCTCAAATCAGCTTCTACCTCTGTTGTGCCTTGACGTATAGTGCTGAGTTCTAAGCAGCCAAGGAGCACCTCTAGGACAGGGACAGCTGCTGACAATGTAAGAATTACATACTAGCAAGGTGCGCCGTGGGCACAGAGCATCTTATCTTTGCCATCTACTCTCTAGAAGAAGAATGTTGAATGCTGAACCCCAAGAGAAAAGAGTGGGTAGGCAGGATGCTGTCAAAATACTGCCCAGAGAATGCTGAGCAAGCCCTATCCTCTAAACTCAGGTTGACCACTCTGCTGTGCAGCCACCATACCACATCTCAGGGGCGCTGCCAAGTTGCACCTTTAGGAGTATCACTTGCAGGACAGGAGCAGCAGAAAAAGAAAGAAGTTGTCACCACTGGCCTTACGGCATAGCCTCTTAATCAGCATTTATTTTCCAACACAAGACAAGGTGAATCCTCAAAGATTACTGAGATTTTGTATCCACCCCACGTGCACAGTAAAGAGCAGTTATCGGCAGAGGAAAGGAGCCTGCACACAGATGCAAGATGCACCTACTACCTGTAACATCCAGAAAACAGGGACTTGGATTTCTTGTTCAAACATGAGGTGAGGAGGAAAGAAATGTCCGGTTTAATCCTATCTTACAATACAAACCCGTACATACCCCCTGGTTCAGCTGGAGTATTATGGATTCAGAGTCAAGCTGATAGTTATCAATACACACTGCCATCAAGACTACAAGTTTAACATAATTTGTGTGGTTCTAAGTTTACCTTTTTCTTAGATCAAAACAATGAAACTTCTAAGTTTAATTCATAAAAAAGTATCACATGCTATTTTAAATAAAAAAGCAAAATTGCGATTCTTAACTTTTACATTATTTTTCCCCTTCTCTGAGGGCTGACTACATGAGACTTGGATTACACCATGCTCTCACACTTGGTTGGGGTAACAGAGTTTAATTAAAACATCAAGTAGCTGAATTCTTGCTCACAGCTCATGTGTCTGCTATATAAATGCAGAGATTTAAAAGTCTATCGCATAGTAAAATCTAGTATCTGAAGATTCATTCACAATTTAATTACCCAGTACAACCTCATCTAACTAGAATATTTACAAACAGTATTTGCGAAGTTTGTTATTTACTCTCATGCAATAAAAATTTTTAATTTATTACTAGGCATTTTTTTTCAATTAGGCTAAGTCAATATGGAAGCACAGAAAATAGGGGAAAATACAGCAACAGAAGTAAACAGTCGAGAATTCGATTTGTGAGACTAGGAAAAAGAAAAAAGATGGCTTTTACAATTTGTTCTTTAAACAACTGCCAAAATAAATGCTACTCAGTATTAAGCTTAATGAGTGATTTTCCAGAGATAGGAAAAATAATAATACCATAAACAACAAAAACTGAATCATATTTTAAGTACAGATATAGAGTCTACAACCTACAGTGCCAATTCTGTAAGCATTTCCTTTATAAGGACTTCATGGGAAATACAAACTCAAATGTTTTATGAGGTTAAAAAATGAAAGGATTAGAATTTCAAGGGCCTGTAATATTAAAAAAAAAATAAATCAAAATAAATGGTGTAAAACAAGGAAGCGGCCATCATAACAAGAGTCACTTACCAGTATCTGAGATGTATGCATGGAGTTGAACTGTCTCATCGGGAGGGACATTTGAAAGGTCATCTAAGGACTGGGGGGTGGGGGGAGAGGGGAGAAGGAAAAAACAGACAAGAGAGAATGAGATCACAGATACATGTCATTTGAGAGATGGTTTTTGATTATCTATTTCATTTCCAAACTTTCATTTCACTACACTAATAGAATAGCTTAATGTACTGTAACAATGCAAATAAGCATTTGTATCACCTGGTTATTAAAGCCTTTCTTTTACACAGTGTAGGGCTGTTCATTTCCCCTACCAGTTTCACATAGTTTTGTGATCACTCTAACATATTTGCCACTCAAGAATTCCCAAATCCCTAAGTTACTGGATGCTGGAGAGTATTCTGGTGAAGTATCACCATAAGTGGACTGTTCCTACAATCGTCATTAGACACTTGGTTTTGGTCATTGTTGGAGGTAGGGCTAAGACTTTCTCTGACCTAGTCCATTCCTAAGCAAGTCACCCTTGAACAGCAATAACCCTGTAAGGTATGCTCAATACTGCAGTGTCTAAATTTAAGAGCAGAACATCACCCGAGACTGATGAACAGGAGGAATTTGTGGAAACTTGTATAAGTGCTTGATATTCTGAGAGCTCTAGGATTTGATTACCAGTAAGATGGAAGGCATGTTATTAAAGACAACAAGTAACAGTCAACTGCACAATTTTGTTTTCTATGAAATACTGACATTAAGCTATTGTTATATTTTTGAAAAGGCATCATTATCTCTTGTTTTCCTGCCTCCCTTCATTGCCACCCTAACAGTTCAGTTTTCTTCCTCATAACTGAATGGGGTTCAAACTGGCATATACTAATGAGTGCCAGAAGTTCAACCCAGCCATTTCTGCTGCTTCAAGGTCTTGGATATGTAACACTTGTGGAACTCCTTTTATTTACTCAATGCAAAACCATTATGGATCCGTTTAGAAGAAATCTGCAAGAGTCTATCAATATTCCACTATAGTTTTATACCCCCAGATATGTCCTACTGGTTTAATGCAGTAGACTAATGTGTCAAATTAAAAGGCAGAAATTAAGATGATATTTTTTGTAAAATAACTTTTCCTCAAAATATTTTTGAGCCTCTTTTCCAAATAATCCTAAAATACATTCTTACAGTGAAAGTATAAACTACAAGCAATGTATTTTTTAATGGAAAATTTAGCAAACACTCAACTTCTGTGGCAAGGCACTACAAAGCAACAATTAATACAAGCAAATGAAATGGTTGAAACTCAAACAGGTAACACAGCAGGTATTCAGTATTACCTTAGTAACTTTGACATTAACTTGTGTTCCTGTGAATATACGTAATTAAAAAGCAAAAATACCACACCACAACCCAATCTTATTTAATGCATTGTCATTAGCTGTAAGTACAGAAATTCCCTGACCTTTGAAGTAACCTCTCCAAGGTCTATTTTTCTTCATGTAACTGACTAACACAAGGGAGCTAAACTATGTGTATAGAAATTTACTCTTGACATGGAATTCAGCCAGGAAAAACTAATCTACCAGTATTCAGACACCTGTAAAAGCACTGAAAACCCTGAACAATATGGACTACAGAAAGCAAAAGTTCTTCTGCATAGAGATTTATTACGCATTTCTGCTAGAATGTTCTTCATTCTTTATAAAAATAATAAATGTAGTATTCTGCAAATATACTTTTCACAACAACAAAAATCAAGACTTTGAATTGTCCCATGCAAATATCAATTTGTATTGCAACAGTGCTTGATAAAGGCTTTAACACTCTCTAGCTTAATTTAGAAAGCCCACAAGAAACTAAGGAGCAGATAACCACTAGCTGGATGAGCCACTGCAATGGCAAATCCCCATCTGTAAAATATGACTTTGATACGTCAGAACATTCTTATAAAAAGTAATTAAGAGACATTTGAAATATCTTTTTAAGAGATTAGTCAATTAAAAGAATCCCTTGTGAAATGTTACCAGAATTGTATGTAAATTTATAAAAAAATATGGCTAAATTAAGTTTTCCCTCTGCATCTAACAGGAGTTTGTGTAAACTGTATCAGCTGACCACCTCACATTTTCTTCATATTTCAAAATGTAAACGAGGAAAACAACAGGAAAAAAACTCCAGCTAAAAAACCAAAAACAACCCCCACATAGAAACACGTTTACATTTATGTTAAACATATTCCTTCACAAAATGAACTCTATTCCTCTGCGTGCAAGCATGATCTAACCAATGCACTGGGACTCCTAAGGAGCTACAGCATCTTCCAAGAATGAATTAGAAGGGCCTATGAATCACATAAGCCAGGAAATTGCATGCAGATTGCAAACCTTTCTAAAACTAAAATATTTGGAAAAATACTCTCATATGCACAATTGAACCTTGCACATCTTGTGGCTCAGCTAACATATAGTCTGAAGAACAAGAAAGAGGGAGGGGAGGAAATACACCAAAATTTTTATGATTTTTTCTTTTTAAATAACTGTGATTTGATTTTCGGTTTAAAACATTTTAAACCTAATTTCTATGTGGGACAGATTATTTGGAAAAAGTCTGGTAAAAGTATGCAGTTCTCTTCCTACATATGCAACCACTAACGCATGCAGAAGCATATTTCAAATATTTAGGTACATTCATGTAACAAAGCAAAGGTTCTGAAAAACTGACCCAGGCAAGAATTGCTTAAAAAAAAAACCAAAAAATTGAACTTTAATTGGTCAGATTAGAAAACAAAGATTCGTATTTTGAATAAACTCCAGATACTTTTATGTTTCCAAATCAAGTCCTAACTAAAAAAAACCAAAAACAACCCAACTTATAAGAATCCAATTAAATGTCTCATTTACAGTCTATTTGAATTTAATCCTTCGAGATTTCAGTTTCAAAGAATTTATTTCCTCCTATTATTACCTAGCTCCTAATTTATGTCTATTTAAAAAAACAGGGATAAGAAAGTATGCTTTGCATAAATTAACTTTAGATTATTACTGTTTCTGTGAGAAACGATGCAAAATTTCATTAAACACAGGGGAAAGTACAAAAGGGACAGTTTCGTTTCACAGATTAATTGATACCCTATGTGTCTTTCAATTTGACTCATGAACTTTTTCAGAAATTAAACTGCAGTGAACTAAAACCTCTAACATAATTTAAACTATTTTATAACACTTCCCCTACTGTTGGGGAGAAAAAAATAATAATAATTAAAAAACAAAATCCAAGCACTTACCAGATTTATGCTGCCAGTAGGAGACCCATTAAAAGATTCTGGGAGCAGTGAAGAAGGGCAAAGGAAAAAACAGGTTAGAAGATTTTCTCCAATGTCGGGCCAATAAAGAAATAAAAATGCGAAGACAACCCATTATGGAAAATAATGGACAACTGTTGCATTGGGCAAAATGTTGTGCCCAACTTACAAGTACTTCAAGTTTCCAATAAAGATACCTGAAGGAAAATGTATGTAAGTTTATAGAGCTATAGATATGAAATAAATAGTCCAGAAAACATTCCTTTTTAAGATTATATCACCACATTAAATTGCTTCATTATGGAGTCAGCTTAATAGTTAAACAATTTCCATTAGATTTGTACTTCAGTTAACGAAAAGAATTACTTTAATTACTTTAAGAAGCCACATCTCCTGTGTACTTACAATTTCTATTTCCAGATGAAGCATATAGTTACACATTAAACCAACCCAATATGTTGAAGAACCTCAAATAGTTTTAAATAAAAAATGAGTCGCACACTTATGTTAGCAACACACTTGTTAACAAGACTTGAAAAAAAATGTACCTGAGATTAAGCTACTACAGAAGAAACTATTTGACTCCCAAAACAATTTAGAAAAAAAAAAAAAAAAAAAGCACAAGGAGGAAACATTACTTGAAAAATCAGAGATAATGCAGGAACTTTTTGATTGCTCAAGAAAGCGTGGATAATTTTCTTATTTTCATTTTAAAGCAGAAAAAAGAATGGTCCCAGGAAATCCCCCTTATAGAGCTCACCTCCATCACCATCATCTGATCCTCTGAAACTAGGATCCTTCAGCATATCCAGCTCAGCTAACATACGCACATACAACACATTCTGTTTGAATGAAGGGTAGAATCTTTCATCTCGCAGCATCAATTCATACACCTTATTGAAATAAAAATGCCAATGTTAGAAATACTTATTACATTTTTTAATTAATCAGACAAGCTTTCATAAATTCTATTTGACCAACATGTATCTGTGCATGTACGTGTATTACGTGGTTTTGGGTTTCCTTACAACCCTAACACGAGTTTGTGAAATTTCAGTTCAGGTTTACTCTTAATGGAAAGTTTATGAGAACTGATTGTGCTAGAAGTATAATACAGTCTCAGAAAATACCTTTCTAACCAGTGAGACATGCACATATAGGAAGAGAAGTAGCATGTTAACTGTAAATGTTTCCTTCCTCTCTTAACCCTTCCAATTGCTCTATAAGCATACTTGGTCTTTACCCATTTCACAACATGTTATCCCTTAGAGTTCTTTTCTGCTTATAAACTATAAAACATAGACCTGCAAACACTTAGGGGGAGAGGCGAGAAGAGGGAAAGGAAGGGAAGGAAGACACCACATACTACTTTCCTGAAAATTTCCAGTTCAGCCAATATAGTATAACCCTACCTCAAAAACATTTAACCACGCCACCTCAAAAAGTTATCTATATAGCCTATACAGTGACAGTATATATACATATACACACATGTACATATATGTAGTGGGAATTAATTAATAATGTTTGGATATTCACGCCAACTCTAGAATATTTTAACGATGGGTGGGTTTTTTTTCATGGAACACTTTGTACTATCACCTGGTAAGAATGGAAAAAAAAAATTCATGCAGGTCTGAGGAAGCCAATTTCTTTTATAACACGTGAGAAATTTTGCCCTTGTAAGCTACTTTGGGCAATACAGATTTCACAAGGTGTTTTCACTTGTCTTAAATGTGGGCCTCAAGTACAATAGAGTGATTTTAAGTTCTACAGCTCATATCACTAGTTTTTAGCATGAATGAGAACATTCACTTAATGACCTAAAATAAAAACCTCTCAGACTGGGTATATAATTTACTGCCAGAATATTAATTATTTGCTTTCTTTTTTTTAATTATATATAGTAGACTTGAGTGATAAGTCTACGTATGGAGGTAGTAAAAAGACTTTATCTTCAGTACTCGATGCTTCTGAGTGCTACGTTGTACGGGCTTGCAGAAACAGAACAGTCAAATTAACTTCTGGTCGAGATAGAGAAGTTAGTGTAGTTACATGCTTACATACACCTTTGTGAAAAAGCGCTAAAACCAGGACAAAATTGTACCACGTAGCTATTCTACACAGGCAGTTTTCTTAAATTGGTGCATAAACAGAAATAATTATCTCATAATTATAAATTATGCTTTATAATTAATTTCATACAGGACACCTACTCTTTCTGTCCATTGCTTTGAAAATCACGGGCTACGTATGGCTAAGCAGAAGTTGGCAATTTAGAGTATGATTTTTACAGAATTAGAAAATGGTAAAACAGGTCTTGGGTTTCAGATATTTGAGTTCCTTCCTCCTTTTTCCATAGCTGTAGTGACGTTTAATACTTTATAGCATTAACAGTTCTTATGAAAAGCAGGATGAATAGATTATACCTTTCTCTGAATGTCATCAAAGATTTCAGGTGTTGGATCCTCATGGTTCAGCGTTTCTGCCAGTTTTGCTACTAAGTTGTCATCAATATTAACTCTTGGAGATGCCTGTTACAGAGATCTAAATCAACTTTTGCAGCATAAAAATAAGAAAGCTTCTACTTTCACAAATAAAATCCAATACAATTTTGCAATTCTTGAAGTAAACTAAATTTCTTCTTGATGAGTATCTCTAGAACTGTCTAGAATACACAGAGTCAGATCCCCTCCTCCCCCCAAAATTAAGTTCAGAGTTTGTATTAAAACTTGAAAGTTTCAGGATTAAATGCTAAGAATCACGTAAAACTAATTTATGCACATTATTTTGAAGCAATATCGAAACCAGACTTACTCAGTCTTAAAAACAGGTTTTATTTATGAATAGAAAGACGTAGATTCAGAAATAGAAAAGCCAGTAAGAAAACGGATAAAGTCCTGAAGCATCTGAGGAAAGGCCAACACTTTGTCAACTCTGCCAATTTCTTGAGATTATTGGTAGCTGTGATTTTGGTAGCTTTTTATGCAAACTCTATTACAGCTACCAGCATAACTGTATCAGCCATCAGACTCCCAGACATCCCTTGGTATTATATATTTCAAATCACTGCACATGAAACATTCTTTAGATGGGCCCAAGTTCACACACTTTCCCCATTTTCTGTGACAGAGACGGGGAGCAAGCACTGAACCAGACACAACATAGCTTGCTTGACAGCACAGCTGAGAGGCTGAGTTCATCAGCTTTGGAATAGCTCTGGTGTTAGGTGGCTTCTGACTTCAAACTGGTTAGCATTCAGTCAGCTCAAAAACCCATCAGAGCGACCTCCGCACAGTCCACCACGTTGATAGACTATTGAGGTGAAAAACCAAAGTGAAAGAAATTATGCAGAAGGTGAAGCATTACAAGGTATTTGAGGGAAAAATTGTTGAGGTAAGCTTTTGAGTGAGTTGAGAGGTGATTTTTATGCATACACGAATTCAGAACAAAGATACTTTGCTAACACAAGTTGACAAGTGTTTTCTTTCACAGAAGACTCCGTTACTACAAGACTATTGGAAGTGAGCAAACTTAGCCTACTGAAAGATACCCAGTGGTGATATTTGAGCAATTTATACAGATATCTGTAGAGAGGCATGGGAAGTTACTTCATTTAAAAGCCCAATCTTAATCCAAGTTTGTACAATTATTGGGTTGCTTTTTTTAAAAAAAAAAAAAAAAAAAAAAAGTTTTTTTCTTAAAGGGGGGGCCACGAAGAGGGCAGGGTAAAAAGGGAAAGGGGAAAGGACAGCATACACAAAGGGACAGAATTTCTTATTCTGTCTCCACATATTCTCTAGTTTTTCTCTATTCTAGGAAGTCAGCTTCTGAGGAACACATTCAGTGCATTTGACAGCATAGTCAGTGCCAGTATGACCCTTTTTAAATGGGGGGGAAGGAAGAGGAAGAAATTTTCTTACTGCTTGAGATAAGGAGAGAGAGAAGATACACAAGCAGTAGCTTAAACATCAACTTGTAAACAGCTTGTGCTACACCTCATCTATTTCATATTCATGTAGCCATAACTACCAAAGCAGCATCTGTACAAAGAATAAATTCAAAAAAATGCAGAAATAAGTTATTCCTACCTTTTCTGATAAATATTGCTCATAAACTCCAAATGCAGCTGCTCTTAATAGACCCTTGGTTTGATTAGTCTGATGTTTTCCATCTTTCTGTCGGCTTTGAAGTACCTCCAGCTGTTGCTGTGCCGTAACCCTGTATCCTTCCACTGTCATCCAGAAAAACAGATGTGCTTGGCCACCAGTCTGCTGCATGTAATCTACAGAAAACAGCCACCACACAACCACAGTTATTGTTGTGCATCTTAGAATGAGAATTCTCTATGATGTTAACTACATAGGGAACTCCAGGATCTCGTTATACATCTGGAATACTTGTCATCTAGAGTAAAAAAAAAAAAAAAAAAAAAAAAAAAGTACTATATACATATTGGTGATAATCAGTAAACAAAATTGGGAGCAAAGTCTAGGAACTGAACATAAAATACACCTGTAAAAAGTGAATCCACCATTACTGTGTGGATATAACAGGCTTGTACAGCCTGATACAAGTTGAGAGGAAGTTCAAACTGGAATTCTAACAAATCACATGCACCTACTGCAATTAAAGGACTATCACCAACAACAAAACTGATGGATATTCTTTGTGATGACTGTCAGCAGCTCGATTAATTCACAGAAGAGAGTCAAGCATTAGAAAGTATTAAAAATAATTATACTTTAATCCACCTATCAATTACTTGATTATATGATAAACGTAAAATAGTACATAAATTACTGCTGTATTTTAGCTTCTCAAAGACAACCTTCAGCAGCCTTGTAATCCTCTAAGCGTCAGTCTAACTTCTGTAGTCATTAGCTTCAGTGAGACCAGCAAAAGTAAGACTAACGACTGTGATAAGTTTCAGAGTAATTCCAATCATAAACCTCTACGCAATTCTTGCAATGATTCTGTTCTAAACAGAATGAACTTGTTAAGTGACAGACTAAGAAACATTGCAAGATCAGGCTTTCAATACTGATCTCTCTGTAAGAAGCTTGATATGAGCTTTCAGAAGTACTAAATATGGTGTTCTGAATAGTTAACTACAGACCGATTTGCAAAAAAGGTTTTGGTTCCCTCTGGCAAGGGGCTTAGACACATTTAGCTCTCAGCAGACACCTATATTTAGCAATTTCAAGTATACAGTCCTGTGAGTTAGCATATTCTTTATAAATTTAAAAAAAAGTACACATCAATTAACACTTACCCATAAAAAATTGTAGTGCAACATTGTCTACCAGAATATGGTCCAGAGGGACTGTGCAAAGTTTTCCAAAGTTTGCTGCCAGTTTCACAGTATCTATTTCCTGTAAGACACAGTTCGGCATGTTCACATGCTCTGTTTTTTTTTTAAATAAAGCAGCCTCTCAAATGTTAGTTATTTTCACAACTACTAATATGTGAAGATCAAAATCATAAGGTCATGTTCTCACAACTATTTGCCTTTAGTGTGGATGATTTCTGCTACCTGGGAAGATAGCCTTTAACACTGCTGTTCCTATAATATTAAACAGGTCAAATCAACCCCAAATCCCTCATGTGACTGTAGCATGAATTAACAAGATGAACTACTTTGAGAATTTGATGGGATGCAGGTATCCACAACTTAAATTCATCTCTGCCCAACTCTCTTCTGTTAATATAACATTTCTTGGTATTACAGTAATGTTCTGGATCCAGCTGTAGATTACTTAGACATTTTAAAAATCAATATGCACAAGATTACATCATCTTGGAGCCACATCTAAGGCCAATTAAAAGAGCGAAGAAACTAACAAAGTCAAACATACTGATTTGTCAGCCTTAAAATATAAAACAAAATATAAAACAAGCAAACAGAACGCACTGCATTTTCAAATTTAACATTCAGATTGCCTTAGGCTTTTTGTTGAACTAAAGAGGTAAACATGCCTGGCAATACACCGAGTCTACAAGGCATTGCAAAATTATCAGCGTTACCTTTATCAACAAGAGAACTCTTGTTCTCTTTGACTAAGAAGACTAAGCTTCAGGCACACAAGGTATGCACTGGAGCAGCGAAAAAGAACTGAATCTAGGTGTATAAATACAAAGATGCTTTGCATCTATGTAACAGTTTGGTTTAAACTCTTTTACAACTATTGTTACCTTCTCAGTATGATGGACTGACATACCTAAACTGCTAAAGCCAGACTCCAAAAAACTCTAAACGTGAACCTTTAGAAAATTTTTCTACACTAAAACCGCAAATACAAGACTTGCTTCAGTTTATAACGTATCGCTTTAACTGCATAATTCAAGTTGTGTTTCAAAACGCAAGAATTAAGAAGCTAGACCAAACTAGCAAGTAATTTGCAACTTTACTCTTTTGGAACTAAAATAATTATAAAATACTTACTTTTCCTGACTGCAATCTCTGAATTCTTGAATCACATACTTTAATAACATATAATAAACTGTTTATTTGATTTTTTATAGTGTTGATATCTGAAAGCAAAACCAAACAAGATTATGCAATGCAGGTGAGTAAAAAAACTCTTGCTCTGAAATGCTCTAAAAATATACAAAAAGCGACACACCACATACAAAACACATCAGCTTTGAATAGATGGGGCTTTTTCAATTTAAATACCTTACTGATAAAAGTGAACAAGAAGAAATATTTTTCTCTTTCCTTTTTCAGATCAGCTGTTAACCGACTACCTATTTAATACCTGAATTACTGAAATTTGGAACCACCAGTCAAGCAAGTGTCAATTCAGTAGAAGTATACATCTAACCAATTAGTCTATATTTAAAAAAAAAAAAAAAAAAAAGTTTTAACAATTTAGATGTAATTTTTTTCTAAATAACAAAATATTTTACACTATGCTGCACCAGCATTTGTATTTTCTAAATTTTTTTCATGTTCTTCAGAGATCATGCTGGCAAATGCATTTCATGTTTTGTACAACAATACAGTACTAACCATCTCCTGCTGTATCTAGAGATCGAAGATACTGCAGTTCTTCACTTGCTTTATCTTTCACTGCTTCCAACTCTCCTATATTATCACTTAGTTTAATAATATTCATAAAGGCCTCGTAGTTACAGTTGGAATCACGAATCTGAAACAGAAAATTTTACAGTGTGAATAATGCAAAACAGGTAAAAGTTGATGATGTGATCTTTTATTAAATTAATTCTTTTGACACAACACTTAGAAGCATCAAAGCCCCTCTTGATACTCAGATTGTACATGGACCAAGAAAGAAGCAGCATGCACACAGTCAAAACCTATTTCACACCATCGTTTTCTGTTTTCAGGAAGTACAAAGACACATGGAAAGCGTGTCAACCTACTTAATAAAGATCTTGTCCAAAACCCAATCCACCTTCTTCTGCTATGACCCATCTCCTTAGCTAAGTAGGTAGAAACTGGTGAGATCACTGAAAAGGCTTCAGCTTTGCCAAGGTCCCCTGCGAGTGCACATGCTCCCAAGGTAATGGCTTCTTAAGATACAGAATTCCAAAAGAATTAAAACATTCTACAATGTAACCATAACCTACTGGGGAGGTAAAAAAAAAAAAAAAAAAAAAAAAAGGAAATGACTGAATTAATATCCTCTCTGAAACCCTAATTCAAATACCCCTTGTAAATACTATTAAGCTATTTCAATACATGCTATTTTCCCAGTACTGGCACAGATGGAACCTGCTCTGGGACTCAAAGGAATTTGTGCAAGTGAAGGAAGCCTGCTATGCTGCTGAAATCACTGGAAACTGTGTTGTGAATGCAGCACGGAGATCAGGGCAAGGTTGGCAGCTTTACCGCATGTGCACGCAGGTGCAGAGGGTTGAGTTCTATGCTGTCTTTACCATCTGAAGCCAAAAAAAGTCACTCCACCCACATCCTTTATAAATGCTCTCTTTGACATGGAAATACTTGGTCTGTACTGCAGAAGTGCATTGACATGAGCTGCACAAGCAGAGAGAATGACGAGTGGATACTTTAGACCAAAGTTAATGGAAAATCTTCCTAGAAATCAACTTTTTAAAAAGTAATAGTACAAACAATACCTGAACTTCAAACATTTTGTAAGACTGAATTTTGCAGTGAGGAGACGAGTCTGGATTAGTTTCTAATTTTATACTGAAGCATCATATTTTAGTGCAAGATAATTAGTGTTGAACTAAGGTGTGTCTAGAAACATGGAATTAAACTTATCATTTTCAGAAATCAAGGGGGTTTTATTTAAATCTGATTTTATGTCAAAGGTTCCAATTTGAATCATCTCTACTTTTGATCTTAGTTTCTGCAACAATCTTCATTTCATAAGACTTGTATTAAATTTTTGAAAGCATTTATTCTTCCTTCTCTTTTGCCCAGCACATTTCCTTCCTCATTTCAGAAAGCAATTATGAAAATTAATATTTGGGACATCACCATCATAACAGAAAGCTTTATAAAAACCTCAGAATTCTATCTTCGGATGCAGCCGGGGGCAGTGCTCAGTAAATAAAGAATGAGGCCAAGTTACAAATAAAGAACATGCGTAGGAGGAAAGGGGAAACAAAAATGGAAAAGTTTGGTCCATATGAGCAGCAGTATTTTTTCATATTAAAGCTAGGTTCCTGTAAAAAAAGCAGCGTGCAAACTTCTATATAAAATGGAGGTGGCTGGAGTCAATGAAATATTGCACACTTACACTTGAATTCATTCCATATATAAGAACTTTTACTGTGAACTCTAAGGGTGTTTTCAGTGTAGTACTTGAATGCACACTGTAAGACTAAAATATATCGATAAGTGTAGAGAGAATGTGGGGAAAAGAAAGAAAAATCAAAGTTTGACTCATGATCTATAAAGGATAAGAGTAAGTTTTAACTTGCTTTGCAAAAAAATCGGTAACATAAATAGTATATTCACACTTCAATTAATGTTAATTTTACTACATATTATTTCTTTAAAAGGGGTTGTTTTTGCAGGTGCATTAGAGAGTTATTGAAGACTTTGTTTCTTCCCTTTCAGTTACATTATTAAGAGTTACCACAAATATCCCTAATAAAATGCACCCTGAGATTTGGGAGGGAGGGGGGAAATCTTAGTGCTTTTCGTTTTGGAGGCCTCTTAAGCTTTAAAGGACACACTGAAAAAAGTCAAGGAAAAAAAACTTCCAAGGTTATTGCCATACTTCCTGAACAGCTAAGGAACAGTCAGAGGACTCAGCTTTACACTTTGCCATACATCTGTCCTCAGTCAGCCAACTTTTGCCAAACAACCACAACACAGAGTACAGATGGGGGGGGCAGGGAAGAAGGGAAGGAGGGAGGGAGAATAAAATTCAGTACAGCAGCCATAAGTTCACTATCTCTGCCAATATACCCATTGGTAATTTTTCTACCAGATATCTATCTGCTGTGATTACAGGCAACACAAGTAAAGCTTGATATGAACATATTCTGGAAATATCATGCCTTTTAAATGTTATAAATCTTACCATCCATATGACATACTGATTAATATAATCAGGATCACTGAGCTGGTTTATTAATGGAAGAAGAATTCCTCGGGAGAGGATTTCCTGAAAAATAAAGTATCGTTTTTATACATTTATTCATAAAGCTAATACAACTGCAACAATTTAAAAATCACTTTGTAGAGGCTAAATAAAAAATGTTAATTACAGAAAACATTCAGATGGCACTAGCACATTCACTTCCAATTAAAATTAGAAGATGTTAATATCTCAAGAAAAACAACTTCAATTTTATCATGCTTTTCTAATGTTGTTAGAGCCAAAAGAAACTTCAAAAACATTTCACACAAACTGTTCTCTGCTGTTACATACTTTTCAGGATTGTACTGCATTTAAAATAACCTAATATTAAATTAGATCAATTCTGCAAAATAAAATAAGAGCAGCAGCTCAGATCTAAAATTTTTGATGGCATTAAACCAAAGTATTGGGATGGCTTTTAGAGTGCATACTTACCCTGACAAAGTATCGCATGATCTTGTTCTGGAAGTCTCCAGGAGGTAGCAATATATACAGTAAAACCTCACACAGATCCCTTAGGAATCCTAGGAAGGGAGAAAAATAATAAAACCCACCACCTTCAGCACAATTTTGTATTACGTTATTTCACATCTGATCTGCTATTATAAACATGAACAGATAAATCCTTAAAATGAAATTCAAACACACAGCCATATCTATTCTTATAGCCCAAGCATCACTGTAACACCTTTCAGACTGAATATAAGCAGCACTGATGTAAACCTGACACAGATCTAGAGTCTCAAGACCAAGACAAAAGAAAGCCAAACTCCAAGAACCAAAAAACTATCTCCAATGTATTTTCCTTATTCAACATATACAATGTTTTTTTGCCCTCCTTCACATTTTGCCCAAAAAGATAAACTGATTTTTTTAATGAAGACTATGGAGTAGTGATAAGAAAGACAGATATAACAAAAAGCAGTAAGAACCTGCAAAGCCATCCCCTGCCTCCCAGAAAACACGTTTCTACCTTTAAACTTTTCCAATGAAAAGAGGAATAGCTACATGTGAACATGATTATAGTATAGCTTTGAAAGTCACATGCTAAGATTTCAGTATATTTTACATTGTTAACACAATTGTTAGTATTTTAATTTAGTCTGTTATATTAAAAATAACTTCAGAAGATAATATTGAGAGACCTTCTTCATCTTTGGGAGAAGTGCAGACTAGATCACGACAGACTTCTTTTTCCATTTCAACTTCAACCTCAAAGAATGTATCTACAAGTTCCTCAGCTTGACCTATACAAAAGAAAATAAAAAGAAACATACTTTTTTTGTAAAGATCAGAAACTTGAATTATAAAATAAAGCTGACTATGTTTCACACATGTAAGATACCTGCCTACTCAGACTCAAAGCAAAAAATACTTAAATCATTACGTTACCTTTCATCTGATCACCTTTCTCTGCTATTCTTTGCTGAGCTTTTCTGAAAACTCGAAGATGAGTGCCAAAGTCATCAACAAGTCGTGTAGTGAAATAAGGCTGCCAGTCTGTTTCCTTTGACCTATCAGAAAAGGGCATCCATGAAAATGAATTATTTTATCCCGAATACAAAGAACAATAATACATTTCTACTTCTCCTTCACCCCTGCCAAGAACCACACTGATAGTAAACACGGAAAAGCGAAAGAAATAAATCAAATAATCACCTAGTCACTGAAAACAAATAAAAATATTGTGAAACACCACTCTCACACCACATTAATATTTATGCTTGATTTACTTTAAGGTCAACATTAATATCTGGAAATAGTGTCTGATTCATGATATTGTCAAATATCTGTGAAAAATCCTGATTAAACAGTCTATGAGTACCTACAACCTAAAACTAAAACACTCCCCAGGTCTTTTCCAGCCATACTTTTGATCATTTTGGAAGGTACCTGAACAAATAATTTTCTTCCAAATTTACAGCATATGCATGAGTGAGAAAACACACATTTCATTTGAAACTACAAGCAACCTAATATTATCAACAATTGATTCCACAGCTTGTATGAGAGATTGTTAGTGTGAATCTCCAACAATGCACATAAATTTGCGTCAGAAAATAGTCACTGTTAGATCCACGTAAAACCATTTCACTAGTGGTATGAAAAAGATGCAGGGATAGTCTTGTGATGGCCATGCCTTTCAAGCCAAACTAAAAAGACACTTGTGAATTATAGGTTTAATCAGCCAGATGGTACTGATGGCTTTTACTCTGCACTAAGTATACCACAACCTGAATTCTCTGATACCTGCTTTGTTATACCAGAATCCTTCCACAACACTTCCTTTTTTGTGTTTATTCCCTCACCTGCTCTTTTTCCCCCCTCAAAAAGAGAGAAAGGGATAAGGAACTCAAAGAGATGGAAGCCTACTACAAAAATCTGGATATGGAAATAAGAAGTGGAGCTGTCAACCAAACCCATCAATAATCCAGATCCACCATCTGCACAACGAACCGATCATATAAATACACTAGGTGGCAGCCTTACATCATTCTTCCAAACGTGGAACTTTCAAGGGAAAAAAAGAAAAATCCCACTGTACTCATTCTCTCTAGAAACTCACAGGGTATATGAAATTAGAGATGACGGTACTAATCTAAGACTGCTACTGCTATATCCAGCTACAATCATTATAAATATAGACCATCTTCTCTTTAACAACAACAATCAACTTCTGCAGCCCTGTGAAACCAATTTGATTTGTACAGAACACAAACTGCACGAGTGGTGGTTACTTTTGAAGAGCTATAGTACTGTAGGAAAAAAAAAAGATTACACTGGCTATAACTTGACCTGTTTTGACACAAACCTAGTGCTTGATACTGTTCAACGAAGTAGCTTCACCAAATAGACAAAACCACCAGAGGTTTTTAAAAAGAATGTCACATATCATTGCATTCCCCAGATTACTACTCTTTTGAAAATACTCATTGTATTCATGCAATTCAATGCTTAAGTTGCAGAAAAAGAGCTATTTGGTAATTTTAGACATTAATCAAAATTCTGAAAAGGCAATTTTGCAAAAGACCATGACTACTAACATCATCTCCGTTCATTCCTTAAGGGATCAGCAAAAAACTGTAGTTCTTAGATTATGAACCTAAAATTTTACATGTCCTTTCTGTAAAATGCACTGAACTATGCCAACAGATTAAATTTAATCATTTAACTATTACCATACAACCCACAGAGGTATTTGTCCACTTGCTTAGACAGTGCATTGATGTAAATACAAATAATCTTACCTGGCAGAAAACTGAACAAGTGCATACTGAAGAGCCTGCCTGATTTCCAGAAGAAACGATTCATCATCACTTAGTGTGTAATACCAATACTGCACATAGTCTCTCAGGGAAAACTGGATCACCTGAAATTGGAAAGGAAAAAAAGAAGGATGAACTAATGAACAAAAGCCAACAAAATATGAAATAGCTTTTTGTGCCTGCTAATGCAACAGCAGTCTTCTCAAGAGGCTAACACAGTGAACCATAGTCCCCCTACCATTATGAAATTGTAAGTGAAACAATACAACTCACACACTGAAGCCTCTTTTTCGTATTGGCTTACATGCATTCACCACTGCTATGCTGACAAACTATTATATACAGAAAACAGACTCAACTATTGCCCAATATCCTGGCCCATCTTCAATGTTTTCACTTACCACTCTCAAATATGATACAATTTTTCAACTTCTATTTGTCTCTCAAATACTTAGAAATTACATAGCCAATTCTTGCAAAAATAAAAATAGGTTAAATAGTCTTGGTTAGAACTTACCTGTTGCAAAGGCTCATCAATTATATTTGCACCCGTCAGTCTTCTGTCAATCTTAATAGGTCTGGCTTCCCGTTTCATTTCTTCTATGCACTTGAAAGAGATTAGGAAATGTAACTTTGCAGGTTTTAGCTATAATTAAAAATCAGCTCTACTGCTTATGATATATGTACACTTCCAGTAACAGCTTTATAAACAACATTATCCCTATTATTGTAACTTATAGAGTAGGGGAGATATAATCATAGAATGGTTTGGGTTGGAAGGGACTATTAAATGTCATCCAGTCCAACCTCCCTGCAATGAGCAGGGACACCCTTAACTCGATCAGGTTGCTCAGAGCCCCATCCAACCTGGCCTTGAATATTTCCAGGGATGCAGCACCTACCACCTTTCTGGGCAACAATAACATCTATATTTCTTTATCTCTATTAGTAAATAATGGTGAGGAACTAACCTGAAAACCTACCTCTTGCTTACTGTAAAGGAGCAAGTTTGGTAAAATACTAGATCAGAAGGAAATAAAACTCAAATAGTTATAAAAGGGGGGGAGGGGGGGGACGACGACACACACAACAGCAGCACAAGATAGTTTGTGAGACCTCAGTTCCATACTTGATGAAAAAATTCTTGTGCAACCTCAGGCAGGTAATTGGTTCAGTTGTTTGTTTTTTTTTTTTTTCTCTGTTTCTTTATCCATCTCAGTTTATTCTATATGCAAGAAGATAAATTGCTTTTTTTTTTTTTACCATTTTTACTATTTTTTTACCATTGCTACTTGACAGACAAGTCTTTAAAGAGTAATTGATGAGGGGGTAAAAAATTATTTTATAGAAGGACTTGCAACTCAGAGAAGTTAACTCCAAGAATGACTTCATGAGAACTGACTTTTGGCAAGTGACATACTGAAAAAGAACACCCTTTATCAGTGCTTCTCTGAGTGGACTAATACAGTGTCTTTCTACAAACTTAAGAAGAAATCTCCAATAAACTCCTTTATTCTCACAGAAATAACAACCCAATACTATTGTTCAAAAAAAATTTTATTCTTTGATCTAGAAAGTTACGACTGTCAGAAACACGGAACTGCCAAAAGCCATAAATTAAAAAAATAATAAACTGTATGTCCAGTGTTTCTGTTCTACGTGACTTTCCCTAAGTAGCTCTCATTCAAACCAGTTAACAGTGCATGGCAGAGAAATACCTGAGGCCAGAAAACATTCCTCCTACTACTTAACCAACTGTATCACAACATAAAAGTATTTTGTTGCAAAATTCTGTGTATTTTTTAACTTAAGGGAACGGTTCAATGCTACTTTAATATGAATAAAGCTGACCCATATTCAAACAATACTCCACAGCTATACAGTAATGAATTTGCAAAATATTTTTGTCTTGACAGTGTCAAAAATAAAAAAAAACCCAAACAACAAAACTGAACAATTAAATATTTTTTTACTAAGCATAGCACAGTTCAAATTGCCAAACAAAACTGTTACAAGAGTTGTGAAGTTTGAGGGCTGCATGCATAAAACCACATTTGGAAAACACAGAAGAAAAAGAAAAAAAAAAAAAGGAAGCAGCCAGAAGAAAGAGAGAGAGGGACACACAGAGAATACGCAAGGTTACTTGGTAAAAATCTGAATGTTCATAGGCTCATAGGATTCAGGTTCGGGTCTGGACTTCAGGAAGTCATCTTGCCCAACCTCCTGCTCAAAGCAGAGCCAACTATGAGGTCAGACCATTCTTCCTTATTCTTTCTTCTCCAGTGAAATGTTTATGTACACGCAGTATAATGTCATTTGCTTTTGGTATGTCTGAAGACATCTACAATTTAGAGTATCTGCTTTTATTTCATTGCAGCTACAATGGCTGACTGTAGTTCTCACCTGGAAAGCATTGCTGGTTTTAAGCCTGGCCTTCCAGACACTGACTTAGAAAACAGACTAAAGGAAGGACCCAACTCACATGAAGAAAACTGTCCTATTCAACTGTCACTTCATACACAATATTAGTCTGACATACTCTGCCTGTATTAAATCATTAGTTAGGAAAAATGAGTATCACTTTTTGTTGCTAAATTTGACATCTACTAACTTCATTTTAAGTAGGTAGGAAGCACTTATGAGGAACATGGGCCATGCACTCCAAAGTGAGAAGCAGCACCGAGTAAGGAAACCCAGGCTCCACAAACACATAATTGCAGTTACTGAGTAGACTTCAGACTTCTGCTTCGCTGCACTAATAGGTATTTTTAAAGGCCTTTTCTGAAATTGTGCTAGGTAACTGTTAAATATGAAAAATGCCACTATTTCTAAATCACATACTTGCAGTCGCAGGCTTTCATGAGTGGACAAGACACAGGGGTTTTACATGTCTGCGTCAAATCCATAACATAGCATATGACCAGTTGACTCAAAATAAAGACATTCAGAGACTAGTCAGGGATCAAACATGTAACCAGCACTTCTAACAGTGATAAAAAACTTAGAGCAATTTGGCAATATCATACCCAGCCTACAGAAAGTCCTTGTCTTTTGGATGAAGCATAAGAAACATCAATTATGATAATAACCGGACATTCCACACTTCTGTTCAAGTTGGATTGAATCCATAACATTCATTGAAAATGGCATTCCAGTTAACAGTTCAGAAGGCTCTAAACTTGCGTTTCATTCACCAGTATTTTAATACAAACCTGCAGACAATCGTGTATCTTACAGAGCCAATACATTATGGCATCATCAAGTATGCTCCTGACACAAAAGTTATATAAAATAGACTTAAACTTCCCTGCGTGTATGCAAACAAACAAACAAAAAAGCAGAAAGGTAAATAATCTTTTATCAAACTATTTCTCCTTAATGTGAGGCATTCAATATATATTCGCTAATAAGTATAATAAGCAGCAACCAAGGAAATCTATCTGCACCAAACCCTGCGTCTGCTACATTCTACACCATTTCCATCCACAATTTTGGTGCTTGAAATAATAACTAATTTCCTTTAGATCAAGCATTTGAACATTCATCTTACCCTAAAAAAAAAAAACCAAACAACTAAAAACCCTCAAAACAACCAGTAAAACTGAATGCCTTTGGGGTAAAGAGTTTCTTATAAAGAACCTGTATCATCAGATTACTTCTCAAAATATAGTATCACAAAAGAATTTAATACTGAGGTGAATTCAGTTTGTACTCGATTCATGGAAGAAGCATAACCTATACACTAGCCACATGAAAGAATATTCATTGTTCGAGACCACTTAGGGCCAAAATAGGTTTTAATAGGGCCACTTAGGTTTTAAACATGAAAATAATTTCAAATTAAAAATATTACTTTCCATTAAAGGTAAGACAGCAGAAATTTAATACAGAAATGGCAAACGGGAATGCCAAGCAAACCATACATTTGATTTTGGTTAGGACTCATCTCTTCTTGCACTGCTACTGAAAAGCTCAGCTAAACTACCTAATGCTATTTTAACACAGTGGCAAAAATACAGAACACTATTGTAGAAGACAAACAGATTTTAGTTGGAGAACAACTTCAAAGAGCATTTGGTAAGCCAGCTAAAAATAAACACCTTCGTACTACAAAACTTAAATCCAGAGATTAGTCAAGACAGGTCAGTTGAGAAAAGTGATGTGTTAATAATCCACACTCAAATCAGAAGTCAAACTACTGAATTTGCAAGGATTACTCTTTATTAAGAGTTTAATCTTCTTAGTTTGGCAAGCAACTTTCTGACAACAAACAATCAAAAGCATCTTAACTGGAGAGACCACAGATCCAGTGATGGAAGAATCCTAAATAGTTGTGACAATCTTCCAAGAAAAAGCAAGATGGAACTACCACTCCCTCCCAAAAAAACCAACACACACAAGTACTCTAGAAAGGAATGGTTTACTAATTCCCTCACAGAGAGCATTGGCCAGTTACATCTTACTCATTTCTCATAATGAGGCCAGAAACAATACTTGAAACAAACTTTCCATAAATCCTTAAAAAGCTTGTATTTCAAAAAGGAAAAATCTCGCATTTCACTTGCACATTGCAGCTGACTTAAAACATAAGAGCAGGCTCATTTACCTAGGGAAATTGGTACAATTCTTAGCTTAAAACTAGTTATTAGCGTTATCCTAATTTTCAAAGTTATAAAATCCAATCTAGAAGTTAAGACCAGTAAACTCTCCTTACCTTAGGGATCCCAACTGATGTACAAGGAAGAAACGAATGTTCACACTGCTCAAGGTATTTTTCAGAGTTGCTTTTTCCAAATAAAAGAGTAACCACAAAACCCCTAAAATAGAAAAAGACCAGTCATCTTTCCCCCCCCACTTCACAGCAAGTTATAAAATCACAATATATGACAATTCTCACCATTTACTCTCCTAATACAGTGCTCTTCCATAGCGTAGCATGCTGCTTAAAATAACTCACACATTACTAAGTATGAAGTTTCCCAGTCTTGTATCATGAGTCTTGACATATTCTTATCACACAGCAGATCTATATAGCACAGTCTGTACTACACAGCCTGCTGCATGAGAAAAACCTGTGACGGCATGCTACCTACGCTCACAATCATTAGCACACAGCAAGAGGGGTACAGACATAAGCTGCTCTGGTTGTATTTATACAAAGGTTCTTCTCCTTCAACACTATGAAGAAAAACTCTTTAGAGAGCCATTTAGGCCACTGCATTGTGGCATAAGCCACAAAAACACAAACCAGGAAGAAACTGATGTAATAAGCATAGCAACTGATTGCATATATTTAAACAAGAAATAATTTCAACTGGGGACTTACTTTAAGCTGCAAAGAAAAAAAAAAAAAGAAACCCAAACCACCAAAGAAACCCCCCCAACTCCCCTCAAAATGGTAGTCCTGCCAGGCTGCATGAGAACAGAGTCAAGGGAAAATTCTAGAGGACAACTGAAATCAAACACAAGGTGTTGGGGTTTTGGAGGGTTGTGAGTTTTTGGGGGTGCTGGGTTTTGGGTTTGTTTTGTTGTTGTTTTCTTTTTAATTAATTCAGCATATAAAGTCTAAATAAATGCACTCCCAAACCGTTTAGAATGTTAGATCAGAAATTCATAGTCTTCTTCCCTCACAATTCTACAATGATATTTAAATTACGACTTATAGTTACAGCAGGACAGCAGTTAATTCTATTATTCTTCTCTTTATGATCTAACAAAGGCATAAGGGAAAAAGCAACCATTACAAATAGTTCAACCTTGCCACAACAATAATTTCTTTACAGCTTATGATACTAGGGCACAAAACCACATAAAGCTGGTTTTACTAAGAATTAGATGAAAACCTAAAGGCTGTGCCAATTAGAGCATAACCAAAGTATATAGCCTTTGAAAAAAATCAAGCATTAAAAAAAAAGATAATATGAAGTTACTGCTGCTCAGACTAGCCTTGGGATGGCTAACCACACATAGCTTTTTAAACAAATTTCAAAGCATTCAATTTAAAGGCCAGCTGACCAACATTTGTGGCCACAGAAACTCACAAGGTTATTCCAGGCTTGAAACGTGCTGAAATAACACATTCTATCAGTATAGACTGCTGATGATAAACAATACTCATACTCGTATAATTACAATAAAATTCCTAACCAAGTAAAATATGCCATTTGAAGGTCTTAATTCCCAAACTGGGAACCATTCTTTCTAAGTACTCCGGAGGCTCAGTAACTCAGAAGCAGGAAGGTGGTCATTTATACTTGAAAAACTCCAGAACAAAAAAAACCAAACACACACACCAACAACAAAAACACAGCCCACTACACAAAATTATTACTGGTAACTTCATAATGCGTAAGAAAATTTTACTTGATACTCTGATCCTCTTACAGCCATCTGTATGTGCCATACATGTGTACTTTCTACATACGAGGGCAAAAAATAAAAGCAGGTCTAACAGCCCTTCTGCTCCAGATACTTCCAGACAGCTTTAAAATCGTAACACCAATAGTGCTAGTAGCATCAGAATTCAGTTCAAGGACAAAAAGTTGCTTAGAAAAATCTCAGTATTAGTTTCGCTATGCTTAAAAGTTAAATAATGTTTTGGTTTGGGGGGAGAGGGTTGTTGGGGTTTTTTTAATTATTACAAAGTTTGGGTTTTCTTTTATTATCTACCACCTTGCTATTAGAAACCTCAGTCTTCCTTTAAAGATAACAGTATACCCAAAATTCTTTTTTTTTTTTTTTTTTTTTGTTTTTGGCCAAAAATCACTTTTAACTTCAAATATGTATCAGCAACTTAGGGTAGTGTAAGAAGGGGGGAGGTTCTTCCCTTCTTTTATTCAAAATAACTAGGTATATATTATACATCTGTTTTCTCTCAAACGTTACGACATTTCTAAAGTTAATGATTTATTAAAAAATACTAATATGCTACTAAAGTAATTTAAGTATATGCTTGTTTTCTTAAATGATTAAGTATTTTCATTTTTAACCTAGAAATGGTAGGAGCTTCTGCCTCTATATCAGAAATTAATGCATTATATTCTCTAATTTAAGATCTTGTGTGCAGTAGAGGGGTATACATTGCCTGACCATTCAGTGCAAATGCTCACCTAATTCATCAAGAGGATATTCAACTCAGTAAAGAAATCACTTTAGTCTTTTCTCTAAATGAACAGAGTAGAAAAAGGAAAAGACTGTATTTTACTTAAATTTTTGTTATTAAGTTTTTCCAAAGTTTATTGGAAGACCAGCTTTTCACAGGGACAGATTAACAACAGAGCAAAGGTGACATAGAAAAATGAAGTCCACAGATTTATCATTCTCCCATCAAGTCTGAAAAGTAACATCCTTAGCTGAATGCTTTGTGAAAGTCAAAAAGCAGCTTCAGAATGGCTCCCGGTTTGGTCAGCAGTTAAAATCATCAGTGTAGGCAGCCAGTCACATATACATGGATGTGATTAAGTATCAGTAATTGTGGTTTTTGATGACAGAGCAAATTCCTTTAAAGAGCAAAGCATTTGATGGTCCAAGAAATTTCAATTCTCACAACATTGGAAGCCTAAGGCTGTTGGCAGAACCTCAGTTCACATTATTTTAATTTTACTTCCTTAGGATTGAAAGAGAGAAGGAGAGAAAGGTAAGAAACATACATGGTACAAAGAAAAGGCAGACAGTAAGACAGGCCCAGCACTCAGGTTACGGGGTTAGCACCAATAAAGTACAAGCAAAAAGTATTTCATTAAGATTAACACCTTGTAATAGTCTTGGCTACATGGGTTAAAGAGACGGTATCTATCTTTTGCCTCCTGCTTTTAGTGGAAAGAGCTGGGTTCCCTAAGTGATGTGTTACCAGATCCCGAATTGAAGAGACGTGTACTATGAAAAAAAAAAAAGGCTAACATTTTATAAATCAGCCTTGAAACAAAAACTTAAACAAAGACAACTTCTGATTTAAAGCTTTTATTCATACACACAAATGGTTTCAGTACCCTTCCATGCACTCAACAGTACACTTAATACAAGCTATCTGTGTAAGAGGAAATGCACAATTAAGAGTAAATCAAAAAGAAATAATTAGCACATAACAGAAGTGAAACCATATAAAGGGATGGATTATGTTGATACAGGTATGGCATCAACATTGTTTTCCTTCACAACTCACTGGCGTATACTTTTAATGTTGAGGTCAATACTAAGGGTGAAAACAGCTATGATTCAACATTTTCTTTTTTTAGAACTGCAAAATGGGATGGAAGTGGATTCCCAGCTAGTGCAAGTCAGAAACTATTGATACAGGCCACTGTTTTGCAAGTATAAGTTAGAAAACTGCGTGCCAAATTGGATAAGAACTCCAAGTTTCAGCATAAAGATCTACCATAAAAATCCATGTCCAAAACTGTTATTTTGCTCCAGGTAAGGGTACGGTAAGTATTAGGAAACTCCTATAATCATGAACCAAAATGAGATTTTTATTTTCTTAATTTATATAAATGATGTTATAATATATAATTGCTAATCATAAGTGAAAAAGTTATCTCATAACATTAATTTCTGTGTTTCTAAGAGAAACAGGACCAGGAATTTTGTCTAACTCCATGGGAATTAATTCAAAAAGAAAAAGCAGGCAAGCATAATTTAGACATAAATCTACTTGACCTAGTTAGCACTCACGGATCTGTGTGCTGAACATTAAAATTTAAAGTAGGTGTGTCACTTTGAAAAAGATTAACAGTATCTAAAAGGGCCAAATCACTGCCTTAGCCAAGAAGATGTGTATGTTAAAGTAATGAAGTAATGACATCCTACTGGAAGGGCTGAGACTTCATATCTATCTACGTAAGTGCATAATAGGAAGAAGGATACAAATTTTGCTTTAACAGACACGCTATCACAAGATGAATTTAGTCTTAAGAAGATCAATGTTCACTGACTCACTACAAAAATGAACCAAAGCCGCAAAAGAATCACAGCAGAGGTATCAGACCTGACTTGAGAATAAGTGAGCTCAGGCAGTCTTAGGGTGGCAAACTGTAGCTGACTCCAGACATACTCCATGAGAGACTGCTTTGACTGTTAGCTTTGAAAAGCCAAGCAACTGAAATTGAGCAAGAAGGAAGGTTAAGCTTTTAAGAAGTTTTTATATCCCACATTATTTTCCATACTGCAAACACTAAAGAAGTGGTAATACAAAACAAACTCTTGCTCTTTGAGCGAACACTTTGCCTTTTGCCCTGGACAAGCAGCCAGCAAAATATGCCAATTATATATGTATGAAGACTTAACAAGACAAAAGCATTTTACTTAAAAGTTAGTTTAAATCCTCACTTTAGTAGATTGACTATTCTGATTTCTCAGAGACGGAATTCAAGTTTAATACAGTTGAAAACCAAGCGCAGCAGCTCTAATTCTAGCCACTAAACTCTATTACTGTATTTTTTGATGAGACATACAGGAATATATGTACATGCTGTACTGTATCCAGTAAGAAAGTTAAAAGGGTGTTTCAAAGGAAGGAAAAATAACATTCATGATAGCTTGAACATGCCATTAGAAGTCAAGCATGTCTTGGAGAGCCTATAACCGTTACTGTCCTGCAGATTAGTCTCATTAGTGAGAGGAAGGAGGTACTAATACATTTAGACTTGGCATTAAAAATAAGTTTTAATGGCTACAAGGCAGACATTATAATATACAATGTAATAATGGTGCTAAAAACTATAAAAACATCACCTGTTTGCTCCCTTCCTGTGTACAGATGAAGTATGAAATGTCTACAGCTGCTGAATTGATCTACTTGTTCAAGATGTAGCAAAACGCAGCATCATTTCCAGACACCCAGGAAAACACCCACTCACTTTCCTCATGAATGAGCTATCTTAGGTAGGAAAATGAGATTGTGATAAGGGGACATAATTACTTAGTAAGCACCTGGGAAAAGAACTGACACAGTAATATAAAGTATGAACTGAAGTTAACATTGGGTTTATGCTAGTATTTGTCCTCCAACTCCCGTTATAAATACTTTTTTTTTTTTTAAATCAGAAATCTTTTTTTTGCCTGGGTGAAGGAAGTAGAAGTGCTGTTCAACAGTGAAAAAATTGCTTTTGATAAAATTGAGATTTCAAGAGAAAAAACTTGGCTCAAACAGCTGCCCAAATGTGGAAATATTAATTACATAAAAGTCACTTCAGATTTTCAGAGCAAGCTATTTGCTAATATACATATTAAAATTTTACTTTCGTAGTAAATTATAAAACACTAAGTAGTATACTTACCCACCCACAAAGCAGAGGATATAAAATGCAAAGTAAAATATAGCGAAGGGTCCAAAAGTTACTAGGAAAAGCACAACGCCAAGACTTCCCCATCCCCATATGGAAAGACTGGTCTGTAAACAAGAACACACAGAAAAGGAATAATTAATATGACACTCATACAGCTTTAAGTCTCCAAAGCAATATTTGTAGTTTCTACAAAGTTTGGTACATTTTAACCAGATATGAAATAAGTTTTGCTTGATGAAATAAAAATTATTTTTTAAAAGCATATTGCTATCAAGTTATACTGTGGGCTAGTAGTCCAGTTTAACCAACATTAGAACTTTTTTTTTTTTTTCCAAATATTGTTACTCATCTCTCACTTCAGATGCAACTATCACCCTTTGAAGCATCATTTCTTTTTCTTCTCTATTCTTATTTTGTGCACTTGTTTCTTGTGTTTCTGCCTGCTCCCCACCCCCTCCACCCCCCT